CCATGCATGTGCCTTGGCAGCGCCATCGCCTTTAAGTTCAACTTCGCCTACAACTGGTTATGAAGCCACTCATAACTGGGACCTCCACTTCAAGCACCTGGCCATCCTCGCTTCAGTCGAGTCAAAATGGACCAGCGAAAGATAAGTTGATAGTTTTATAGCAGCGCCAAAGATGTAAAACTTATTTTGTTCTTTAAAACTGTAAAATTGTAATGTAATGGAAACGCTTTTTTTTTGTTAAATAAAATCTGTTAAATTTTTGTGTTCTGTTTGTTCTTCTATCCTCTAGCCATGCCATGGTCGACACACAGCTACACGCCTGTAGATGTCTTCATGCCACCGACTGAGCTACCGGAAGCTAATGGTAACCCCCTTTCTGTGATTGTGCAGAAAAGTTGAAATCTTCATTGCATTCCATCTTTTCTGGACTTTTTGCGGAAAGGAAGCGTTACAACATATTTACAAGCGCTTTTACTCAGTCTGTATGAAAAATATAACATTTTTGCGCTTTGAGTCCATCAAGATTACGAGACGCGCGGATTGTACTAATCCTCACATCATATCCTAAACATAGAAAAACTGCTTCTATCTCCAGCACTGTCTCCAAGGCCCAGCATAATTATTCTACAAAACGCCAACATGATCCTCAGCATTTAGCATTTTTTTCTATCTTGTAGTTTCGGTATTGTCGGGTATTTTCAGTTGAGTTCTTAGTGCGGGCTCGGCTGAAAGCTCCGTTATCACGTATGATAAAAGTTAAATACAAAAAATATAGCTATCTATATGTTACTGATTTGGAAATATTTTTATTCATACCGGGTGATTCATAACTACGAGGTGACACAAGCATGCATTTTTCCAAACGGAAAGACCTTCATTTATGTTATTGCAGATTGGGAGAGATCCTCACATTTGATATGTGACATATACTAAGTGACATATAAATCCGAACACCCAGTTTAAATAGTTTTATTTTAATAAAATTTTGTATAAGTACTTAATGAAGCATAATAAGTAAATGATACAAATTTCAAAATGATTGCACTGCTTTAAAGCCCTTTGACCTTAAATAATGTGTGGATGCACCCTGATGTGCTACGCATTCTCCAACGCGCCTAGGCATGCTTCTGATCAGGTGGTCAATGTCCTCCTGTGGTATCTAATTCCAGGCAACCACCAACTCCTCTCGAAGTGCTCCTAGAGTCTGAGGAGGACGTTGCAAATTGAGCAATCTCCTACCCATCATATCCCACACGTGCTCAATTGGGGATAAGTCGGGGGATCGTGGTGGCCATGGTAGCAATGTGACATCATTATGTTGAAAGAAGTCTATTGTGACTCTTGCAACATGTGGTCGGGCATTATCTTGTTGGAAAGTTGGATCTGCCAGGGTGTCAAGATAGGGTAAAAGATGGGGTTCTAAAACTTCGTCGATAGAACGCTGCGCGTTCATGTTACCTCTGATGAAGGTTAAAGGTGACCTGGAACCATAAGCTGTAGCACCCCAAACCATAACTCCAACAGTGTGATGAACATGTCTTTCAACAAAAAACTGTGGATTCCTCCTTTCACCACGTCGCCTTCTAACCCTGGCACGACCATCGTGCATGCCTAAACAAAATCAAGACTCGTCACTAAAGACAATACTGTTCCATTCCTGATCCCAGAGTGACCGTTGTCTGCACCACTCAAGGCGATTACGTCGGTGTTCTCGAGTTAAAGGGAGGACCCAGTGTGGCCGGTATGAAAACAAGCCAAAACTTCTCATTCGTCGGTAAACACTTCGCATGCCAATAGGTCTTCCGTGTTCTGCAAACCATTCATTTGCAATGGACCTGGTAGTGGAGAAAGGGTCCCTTAAGGCCAATAATCTTAGGCTGCGATCTTCACGGTCTGTTGTTCTACGGCGGCGTCCAGTGCCCCTTGCTCTTTGCGTACGGCCTTCTCGAAGCCATGCCTGACAACACCTAACCACAGTGTCTACACTTCTTTGCACTCTAACTGCAATTGCCCGAAAAGAAAGTCCAGCTTCCCGAAGTCCCACTATACGGCCCCTATCAAACTCACTAAGTTGACGAAATCGTACAGGTCTCCGTACTCTAGGCATCGTAACCGATCATAAAGGATGTCAAGAACCAAAATCCGCCAACGTTGATTCTTTACTGCGGCTGAAATATTCATTTTTAGAGCGTTAGTGAATTAAAGAAAAGCAGTATAAAAACCGGAATGTCCAACTGATAAGGCTGAAAATTTTTTCACTTGTTATTTACAGTAAGATAAATACATTCACCAACTTTTATTAAAATAAAACCATTTAAACTGGGTGTTCGGATTTATATGTCACTTAGTATATTATAGGGTCCTTTTAGCAAATTATAAAGATATTGGTCAATAGAGAACTGAACTTCCCGTCAGAAGAATAATTCTATAATCACACGTGTTCTCCCTACTTGCTTAATTTTTGCACTTTTGGTTAGATTATACAGGGAGGTCAGGAACGAAAAATTAACGGTTTTCCAAATTTTTTTCAAGTGGAACAGCCAATATATTTTCACACTTTTTGATTCCCCATTTCAAAGGGTTTTCTCTTTTATGGAGGCCCGTACAACTAGTTTTTGAATTCCTGAAAATACACAGACTCGGTCTTGACTTCCTGACTTTGTTGTATAAGGATAGGTAGATTTAAGTTATAGAGAAAATATGCAAACTTCATCGTCTGTGGTCACTAACTGAATGTTATTATATGCGATTTACAAAAAAAGCCTTTCGTACAAACTCCCATAAATCTTACTCGTATATCAGAAGAACTTGTAAAAATAGGATTTAAGTGTGAAAATATGCAGGCTGGCCGTATGAAAAGTTTGGAAAATCGTTTGCGTTCTTGATGACCCTGTATAGTCTGTCGGAAAAACTGAAAGAGTAAGTAGATAGAAAGAAAAATTGGGATCACAGAGTTATTCTGACCAAACATTTAGTAGTTTAGTGATAACGGTTACGGAGGTGCGAGGTGCCAAAGTCGTTTGTGTGTTTTTTTATAGATTGTTTCATATCTCAAGAATTTATGAATAAATCCCTATATACCAAATTGCTTTGTTTGAAAAGCGGCTATCCGAATCTGCAATAAGATGTAGGTCTTTCTCTTGGAAAGATGTATGTTTGGGTCACTATGAAGTTATGTATCACCCCGCAGGAATGAAATTATTTTCTAAATAAGGAAAATACTTCTGGCTAAACTTTTTGTAATTGCCGGAGCGTTCACTAAGAACTCACTCTGTATGTATAAGAATATAATTTTATGGACATCTATGGTTATTTTTGTTAGAGGTTGGCTTATAGGTATAGGATTTTAGGCGACAATTTCATAGCAGATGCCGATATATCGGACATATCGGCCTATCTCTCTTTCCTTCCGTATATAATCCAAGATATTTTGACTCAGATATGTACGTGGGCCGCAAGCAAATCTATTGGCAGCTAGACACACAACCTGTACCTAGATGACAAGGAGGCTTGTATGTATAAGCTTTTTGTACTATAACATGACAAGTAGACTTGTACAAATTTTTGGTGACTGCAATCGGTTGTACAAACGCACTTGAATAACATTTTAAATCACAAGAATGACAATTACATACCAGCTTTGGCTGCTTTCGTTTTGACCATCAAAAAAGGTAATAAAGGAGAGAACAAACTACAATTTCGGAATACAAAAATTGCCTTGGGAAATTCTGGGCAGACCATACGTGGGGTAGACGTGGGGAATCGGACCAATGACTGGATAGGATCAAGGTAATAAATCTGTTAATATTTTTAATAAGCTGTTGAGGAGTTGAAACATTTCTACAACAGATCTTTCCATACATGCCTTCTTGTATACCAGTCATCACATTTACTACTTGATCTATTTCGGATGCATGAAGTTTAATACTGTACGAAAATGACGATAACGAAAATAGCTAGTGCTGTCTGGCAGTATTCCGACAAAGTCGCTGATCAAAAATCTGACATAACTAATAGTGCAATGTGTGCCTTATGTGAAAAGCAGATTTTAAGAGAAATAACGAACTTATCAAATATGAAGCATCACAGATATCACACACAGGTTTTGCTTCATACACATGTAAAAAAAGTGGTTACCTGAATGCAACTAAAATATATTTCTCTATGTGTTATGGTGTTTTTTCCATTAAATAAAATTACTCAATTACTTCATAACTTATGTCCGGAGAACCATACGGTATATGGACGGTTATATCGGTCGAAACATTTTAATTATGAAAAACCATGCGTCATTTTGGTCAGTCTGTCTGTCTGTCCGTCTCTCGGTCTGTCAAGGACGCAAAAGTTGTCTAGTTTTTGAAAACAGGTTAATTGGAGGCGGGGGAAGGGGCCAAAAATAAAAATCGCTTAAATTTTGTTTTTTTGACGTTTCTAACAATCCTGATCATTTTCGGAAAAGGGAAGGGAAAATGTTTTGACGTTGGTATATTTATGCGTCTCCAGCCTCAGTGATTCTAGGCACATATTTCATTCATCGTGGATGTCCCCGCTCATTTACCTTTAAAACTTAAAAATATCTCCTACAGTCGGGTGTCGATACGTGCAACGTCGTCCCCCGATGGACAAGCGTCGTCATCGTTGATAGTACGTCACAGTCGGCAATCGCTTCCACACTACTGTGCGGTGTGCATGGTGATAGGTCAATTTCTTAATTTTTGCAGGATTGGTCAGGGGGACGAAGAAGGTCATTAATTTTTTGTTAAACATGTTCGAGGCTAGCTTTTTCCCTGGAGGGCTGAGTTGTTTCAAACATAATCCTTTACGAACTGATGGTACCGTAGCGTGCTAAGTCAGTCAACTTACTTAACGACATTAATTTTTTATTGTGAAAACCTGTATTTTTTATCATAGTAATCGTAAATACTAAACCAAGCTAATCATAAATACTACTATCACGTGCCCAGATAATCTTCTGAACAAAATGTGACTGACCGGAAGATCTATTTATGGTAATAGTGAACATGATGTAGAGGCGTAACGCCTAACTCTTCTTCTTCTTCAGGGTAATGAATAACTTCTGCGAAAGGATAATTTTTAATCAGGTCATCTTCCTTAGCCCATGAATTTCCTTTTCCCAGGTGGACTACTTTGAACGCTGGATGCACATGCTGCAAAAGATATAAAAAGCTTACGCATATGAAGCAAGATCCGTTAACGCAGTTGCAATTCAACACCCTCATGCAAAATTATCATCATCATATCGTACTCCAACGTATAACGTCTCTTTATTACTTATTACACGGAACTACTGTTAAGAGCGATGTTTTCTGTTGATCTCTTTGTTTATCCCGTAGAGGTACATAGCATAAGATAATCTGCTTGTTTAAAAATTTATTACTACAGTGATTGTCATCATCTGTACATTATTAGTGCTGTATTCCTTCAATATAATCATTTGTCTGATAATGCCCTCGGTTTCCAATAATGGCTAAATTCATGACAAATTCTGTTAATTGAGCATCAAGTAATGTTTGATTACAACTAGAGGATACTTTTGCAAGGAAATTTAATTACATGTTCGAAGGAAATTGAATTACATGTTCGAAGTAAACCAATGGTTGAAGCAGATTACTTACTTGCCACGCTAATTTTGCATAACCAATAATCGACGATATAATCAGGCTCATTGTGCTCATCATAACAGCCACTGTGGACATAACCGCCATGGCCTTGAAGGCTAGAGGTAGAAGGATCACCTTCATCAAAAGAGCTGCTAATATCAGTGAGAAGGTGTAGCTGGTTTTCTTTTTGCTTTTTCTTTCCGTCTCTGAAAGCAGACAAAAGACAGGGAAGGAAGTATTATTTTTGAACTAAGACATAAGTTCATTTTATTTTTATTTCTAAGTGAGGAAAAGGGGACGTAGGTTATGATTAGTTACATTTTTAGAATGCAATGAACTTATATACAACTTCTCAGAAATTCTGTTCGATCTTCGGTACACATAACTTCCTCAAAATGTTTCATACGATATGTAAGTAAAGTGTTCCTAATTATTTTTGCCACCAGATTGCATCAGAAGGAGAAGAACGTAATTTTATTAGTGATGGTTTGAGTATTTTATTTGTTCAAGTTCAAAGCGAAGTTGTCATTTTTTGCCAAACATAGTTAAATGAAATCGCAGACAAATTAATACAAAAAATTGATAATGAAAATGTCTTTATTTTTATTTAAAAAAAACTCAATTTGGTCCAAATGTCCGTGGCTTTTGAACAGGGTAGGTAATTTAGGTGATTGCAGCGCTACTGAAAGGTCGTTCACTACTCGAGGATCATACTACGAGTACTAGGTAATTTTCGTATTAGCTGATGACTGTCTTATAAAATCATTTAGCCTCGTTTACTCAACTGCACCTTATCGAGCGAAAAGATGAAATCCGAACAAGAATGGTAAAGTTTCGTTTCTTTTGCATACTAAAAATAAAAAAAGTATCGACAGATCAACATAAGTGCGTGAGTGGAAGCAACATACACCTATTGTCTACAAAAATGTCAATGAACGAAATGTTATGCAAAGTTTCAAAAGCACTGATAGATAGTTTTAGGTACGATTCCCTCTTCATCAATTTTCCATATTTTACATTCCTGTAGAGAATGCAGAAACTAAAGCGAATAATGCTAAGCCTAAACACCATCGACAGCCCCAATTGTAGCAAACCATTCAGACTTAAAAACGTCTTGTAAGAAGCTTGGGTCCAAAAGCAATAGTGCATAAATTTGGGAAAATCTCGTCGCCTGTGTTTCAAAGATGATGACAGATGAGTTTATTCCTGTGACCGAAGTTTGGCAATGAATTAGTAATTAGACTACAAAGCACTTCTCTTCCGCATACAAATGCCTACCTGTGGACGTTGGTTCTAACTGACTGTTGTTTCCATAGCTATCGTAGTTCAGGTAGTTCTTGAACTTATCAAGCACAGTACCGCAAGTAGGGTTCAGGCCCAATAATAGAAATAGTAGGATGAGTGCGATTGCTAGTGATCTCAACGGCATTTTTTATAGAACTACTCCAGTTTTCTTTCATACAGATAGTATTGTGACGCTTGACCTATTCTTAAGGACAATTTGAGAGGATGATATGAAAAATAGCGGTCTGTCAAGTAGAACCGACAACCGAACAATTGCCTGACATTAAGTAATAGATGCATGCCACTAAGATTGGCAAGCCATTTAATCAGCATACCTACTATTCAAACTGTGACCGGAATATATAGAGTGGCAAGAAATTGAAGGGATTGGGCATTTTCTCCTACACAATACTATTTTTCCATGAGATGGTGAGAAGCCCATATAAAAAATCATACCAAAATCTAATTATAGTGTCTGACTTTGACAATATGTAATGTGAGAAAGTCAAATATGGTCAATATGCCAATGAATCTAAAAAGCTGATCGACTATTGACATTTTTAGATGATATTACTGTTATTAGCACCTTGCTGTCATTTTCTTTTAATTGCAGTTATAGTAAGTAAGGACCAGTTTTCGCAGATATTAGAAAATGACATTTTACGAGGCAGAAAAGGACAGGATTGATGCTGAAGAATAATTTGTTTGAATTCATTATTGCAATGAGCAGCATTTTGCTGAAAGCATGCTAACATGCTCGAGCCTGGTTCAATTTTAAAACCCAATTTTGTTTCCGTGGTGAGCTCAGCTTAATGTACAAACTGTCTAAAGTAGCCCCAATAAATTATTCAGTGGATTCAGCTAAAACAATATTGGTAGAAGTAAGGTCGACCTTATGAATGTTGTATGTTTGTAACTGGAGTGGTCTCGATCTATCCGAGTCGTCTAGTGAGATGTGCCGGAGTATTATCATATTGCACCAAATGCTTGCATTATTTACACCTACCTGTGAGTATAACGCATAGAAAATAACAATAACCTAGGCAAGGATAAAATATGGATCTGTATTTTCTACACAACCGACTGTTTAGCGTTTTAGGTTCGTCACAGACTCCAATAGCATTAGAGAGGTCCATTCAGTTGCAGCGTGACTGTATCCGAGCACACCATACACGTCTAGTTCTAGTTCTATCCATGAGGTCTGGCTTCTCATCCATACCGTGTGCACACCAAAATCGCTGGACTTGAATCCGCCAGATAGTTTTATTGAGGTTGCGTCAATTACTAAGCTGAGCAAATCACCGTGAAAGACCAAGATCTTGGACTATTTGGCACAGCAACTATACTTGATTCTTTTAAACAACAGGGTATGAAGTCAGACGTGGAAATGTTTTTTTATTCAAATTTAGTCTTTAGGGTAATAATTATTATATGGGTTTCTCCCATTTCACATATAATATGATGCTGTTGAGGATTCAGTATTTGTTTCTGATGATAATACACTCGGTCCGATCAAAGCCACTCCAATAAGAAGACATTCAATATTTATAAAGTTGGATCTGGTGCATCGGCTCTAATCCATCGCCATATCGATCTGAATCGACAAATTTTTTCATTGGGATTTTTTTCCCTTTCAGGGAACCGCCCGACCAGTCGCGATGATACTGTTTATAGCCTTTGTGCTGGTACTGTTCTAAGCAACCTCAGTTCATGTTTTGGTTTCTTGGATGTCTTTTGTGATCCATCGTCTCGCATTCACCTTCGGATTCTGCTCCTTTTCCTCATTGTCTGTAGCTAAGGTCTCCACTGTACGGCCCTACTTTGCACAGGTGTTCTTTCAGATCACTGTGTCCTGTTAGTTGCGCGGGATTGGTTCCTGCTTATTGAGAGAAGTTCCGCAGTGTTGTTTAGATTTGGTCCCGAGATTAATTCTTTTCCCTGCCTACATCCAGTCATTAAGTGCCAATGTTCCTTGTGCTGACTTTTCATCCATTCTTTGACCTGGATTCCTATTAGGCTTTTTGACAGCCCCAAGGTATGTTCTGGGCCTGTACAGGGTGTGAATAATCTATTCCTTGCGGGCTCATCCGCCCTTACATTTCCCGCGTCATCTGAGTGTCCTGGCATCCCCATCACAGTTCACCCTTCTGTGTTTCACCAGTGTGTTCAAACCTTCTTGGCATTCCCAGATTATTGCAGATGACACTCTAGGACTTCTTAACGCTATTAGTGATGCCTTAGTGTCAGTGTATATGTCGATCCTTTTATGGTAAATACACTCGCTCATTATTTACTCTTGGATAGTACAAGATTGCATACACTTCCGCCTGAAGTACAGAGGTGTGTCTTCTAAGTGGTATGGCAGGATTTGACTTGTTCCCATATATACCTGCACCTGTTCCCTCCTCAGTTTTCGACCCGTTAGTGTACCAGGTAATTTCTCCTTGCAAGTTGCACCTTCGGTGTTTCGTTCGATTTCCAATTTTGGTCTCTAAATTAGTTTTGAATACAAATCTGTGAGCTATTTGAGCTTTCCTCGCATCGAGAGTGTGACTTCCCGCATATTTTCTAACTTGGTTAAGTCCAAGATCCTCATATATTTCCTTTGACTGTGACTGTAGCCTGGAATAGCCCATTCGTACCTCCTCCGTTATTACATATTCTATCAGTGGAAGATTCAGCATCGTTTCAGGTGCTGCAGTTGGAGCGCTCTTCAATGCACCAACATACCAGACATGCGCATGGGTCTTACCACCGTTATGTACATCCACTGTATGATGGAAGGGCCCATTACCTATGTTTTGTCATGAGAGCATCTGGTCAACAATAAAGTCGACTGCTGTCTCCTACTCAATCATGTTACGGGGTCAGGTCAGCTTAGAGACTAGTACTACCCCCAAATAATTGACTTTAATCGATAGTTGCGTTCACTAGGATTGCTTTATAGACTAATCTGATCTGACCTTGTAACATAATAGTTTTCAAAACTGGACCAGCCTTGAACCTGATAGTGGTTATTCTGGCAGGTTAAAAAACAATTTTCCTACGAAAGTTACTGTCCTACTACGTTAAAGTGGAACTTTGTCTAGTACTTATGGCTTTGATACCTAGTTAGGAGGAATATTGAAGATTTCCACATAATTGTATCAGCAGTCAAAGCAAGTTCAATGGAATTACAAGATGGCTCCATATCAGAATAAAGTCAAAAGCACAAGTTGTATCTAATACCTTTCTTGGGAACTACATTTTACCGATAGCAATATCTGGTATAAAGCTGAAGCTGTACTAGCTTAATTCATAATGTAAAGTATTATAAAATAGTCTCTCCATGGACCCCAGTGAATCATTGAGATGATACAAGCTTCAGAAATTGCTGATATACTCATTGCACTCGTGGCTTGTCTATATAGGAATATTTTCAAGTTCGATGGTGTGTGTGAAATTTCAGCTTTCCAATATAAGAGAGGTGGAGCTTCCATATTCGCTAGTGCAAAGGACAGCTTCATGTAGAATGTAAAACCGAAGCTTGACAAGACCACTTAGTAAATTCAAAAAATGCAAAATAGTGTTCAAGAGATCATACGCCTTTGGTAGTAAATCGTCATTGGAGCAGCTTGAAGACGTAAGTTACTGTTAAAATAAGAAGAGCACAAGTGGCAAATTCACATCACGATACAAACTACAAACTATTAATTCACGTAGAACTATTACATGGAGCTTATCAAGTAACAACGGATTGTTAAGAGAATTAGAAACATATGCTAGAATCTTTATGGTGCTCCAGTCGATTTCGGTGTGATCCAACACTGGTTGGATTTAATCCGACCCATACGGCAGGTAAGCAGAACATCTCTGTATTATCATAGAAAAATGACACCTTATCTAACTTGTCACAAAAAAGATACATAATATTTATTCTTCAAGTTTTGTTCTTAGTCAGAACAGGTAATAATTAAGTTGTATTGCACGAATTACTTGTTCACCTTCAAATTCTGTTACTTGTGCAAATAATGTGACTTCAGTTTAAAGAAACATCGCTTCATAGCGTCATGCTCATGTGGCCTTAATGAGTTTGAGCTGAGTTGTTGCAAATTATTTATTTTTCACTATTTATTATTTGACTATTAACGGACGTATACCATAGTCAACAACCTGTGCAGCTTGCGACACACACCTGATATAGTTAATTTTTGTTTTGAGAGAATGATAAAGTTGACTAAGGAAACGTATGAGAGAGTATTACGTAGCACAGCAAATCAATATTATTTTGTCCACAAGGTTTGACACCGATCCCATGGTTCACTCCAAAGCTGTCTTCTTTGCCAATGGACGTTGGGCAACTCCTTCAGCAACGAACAAAGATTAATAAGAAACAATAACAAGTTCATCCTGAAATACTTTGATAATTCGTTCGATTATAAAGACAACACCAACCAATAAAGGAAACTACTTGGCGGAACGTTTTTCTTATGGGTCGATAAGTCGTCTAACCGCAAATCTAGAATATGAAAAAACAGTGCATAATAAAAACCAACAATTATTACTGAACTAAATTAATTTATTCAACAAAGTATGTATAAATATAATTATCTAAAAGTACTGTGAATAAGCGATTCTTGGTTAGTGGCGCGTTCATAGCGGCCTATTTATATAATGGGTAATCAATAATTACGTCTGATACTACAGTTAGCGTAGGAACGATAATATAAAAAGAGCAGTAGAATGGATTTTGGTCTATCTGTCGGCACCCTTTTAGCTCCAGTCTGCAAGAATGATTTGTGAGCTAACCAATAGCAGTTACTTCTTTTACTAGGATGAGCTCAGACACTACGGTGTCAAAAGTAGATCACAATCCTTATTTGAAGTATCTTCGGCAGCCAGAACAACAATTACTTTTTTGACGTCATTTCATTTCTAAAAGAAGAAATTAGAATTCTACAGCTTAATTTTGACTATAACCTAGAACAACCGCAACGGGTCTTGAAATAAGGAACTGAAATGACAAGACTGAATTGACTGATAAGCTGCTTAAACTAATTTCCATGGTGAAGGAGATATTACTTATTTTTGTCGTACTGAACAAGCTTTCGACTACTATTCTTTTGGCGGCTACACCCCATTGGAAATTGAGTCTTCATCTAGTGAAACCGCTTGTAGACTAATTGAATACATGATAGTCGAAGCAATGAATCAATCACACTGTAGTCGTTTAGTTAGGATATATTGGAATAATATTCTGGGCAAAATATTGTTGAGCCTGTTTATAAAAACGAATCTTACAAGTTTATCACATAATTACACAATGCGTTTAACTAATGTGTAGGTCATACAAATTCGACCAATTGCATTATTGGAATGTCATAAGAAAAAGGTACTTATGTCGTTTTTAGGGAGACATCTACAATTTATTAATAAATGTTCATCTCAAGAGAAAAATAAACCATTACCTCGGAAAAATTCTATCATTAGATTTTATTTGATGTTCACGTTTCTGGAGGGGGCCCTGAGTAAATTTTCAATAAAAAATGTCCTGAATAGGTTCTCTCCAAGCCCGTACCTCTTCTAATAAAAAATTGAAATTCCAGTGTAGCATAAACGATTAATTCAAAGCTTACTAAGGACTTTTGTCGCTCAAAAATAGCAAACAATTTTTACTGGCGTAACAAATCTGATTTGTTGTGGACTATATCTTAAACAAAGCTCAACCACGTTTTACCCTTTCCATGATGATTGGCTTGCTGGAGTTATGAAAGAAATACCGTTATGGTCTTGTCCACTGAGCATGTGAAAATTGACAGTTCAATACAATATACTAGTAGCCGAATCTTTATTTAAGGTGAACCACCAAGAAAGTGCAGAGGTAATAAAATAAAATGATTGCTAACTCATAAACACCAACAACACCAACAACAGACAACATTGCTAATAATCCTTTCTGACTGATTGATTCTTCGCAATTTTTTTAATCGGACCACTTGAGCAATATATGGGTTCTTATAATAAATATTCCTAGGAAAGAAAGAAGATTCAATGGGCACATGCCCTAAAATGCGCCATTTCCACCTTCTCTTTATGGCGAGGGTCCGACTTGGATCAATCGGAATTTTGTACACAGCGTTCGTGAGAAAATTTATCCCTTTCAACTTGAAAAAATACAACACATTCTACGAAGAACGTATCTATTGAAACCATTGCACCAGATGTGCGCACTTTATTTTTCGAAGACTGCATCGTTCCGTTACTCGTAATATGCTTGCCGCTTTTTGCATAATCTCATTAGGCATATCAGGTTCAATTTCTTTTATTTTGCGACGATTTTTCTTCCAGACAGCGACATTTCTCGGACTTTGAATATAATATTTGCCTTTGGATTACTTCCACGAGATAACTACAACGTGGCTCAATTCTCGTTCCAGCTCTTGCAGAAACAGCTTGATGACTCATCCACTGAAGCCCTTTGCGTGGCAAGTTGATCTATACGTTTTTTTAATTTAACTTGGACATCCTAAGGCTTCTCTGGGTCATCTCAAATGCAACAGCTTACCAAATCGTTGTGAGTTGGTAGTCAAACGTAACTACAAACAGCAACATTCACCCGAGATGGTTTAGAAGTAAATTTATAATATTTACCATGTTTAAGTCTCTACACAAGTATGCACTAAGCCTGGCAGTGTTCTTCTGTACTGAAACCAAAAATAACTGGGCTATATGGATGTGCCGCTACAACAGTTAGACTCAAGTCGTGTGTGATAAAATGTATGACTTTATTATTAAATAGAAATCTTGCTATTCTACATAATAATGACATTACAGCAAATGACCCGAGGTTGCACTATGGTAAGATTCCTATCTTCTATATAAAGCTACAAACACAGTTAAATAATGAATAAATAGGTAAACATTAAAATATATATACAATCGATTATTTTTAAGGTTTGATTTACTGAAGGAGTTCATGTTCCTTCGTCAGTAATACCAAGGAATGTGTAATATCCAAGTGCCGCTTGCTCATGATCAAACAAGAAATGGTTTCTCTAATTAGATTTAAAATAGATACGATGGATATGGTTTATAAATATTTAGAACATCAGTGCATCTATAAAGACACAAAAATCGATACAATGAATAAAGTATTCACTATCTTAGTCGCACTAAGATCGTATGCGAGACGTAAATTCATAAACAACTGTTATTTCTTCTTTGGCATATTGACCAAATATACTTCAGCAAATATCAGTTATTCATGCCGATACCTAATCCAAGATGCAATTTTAAAACCAACATGTTTGCTGGGTAGATTTACAAGCTCAGAAATAATTGGAAATTGTATATAAGACTATGACTTAAACAACATTTTAGTACAACGTTTAATACAAGTGTCAGTTTTTTTCAAAATCAAATTTAAAGTGGACACGCCGAGATCATAAACTACCACGCAGACAATGCTTGTTGAAGTAGAAGTTATTCTATTGTTCCAATATGTAAAACAATTTCGTCTACCAGGCTTCTTTGGAAATAATATAGATTACAAATCCAACTTTTACAATGTACTAGCCGACAATAGCAGCATATTCACAAATACCACAAAATGCTATTGGAGTGGTGTGACAAAATAGGTGTAAATGTGTTTATGGATTCTTGGTCACTCAAAGTGTTTTTTGGAGCGACGCCTCTGTTTATCGCTTTTGTGTATGTCAGTCGTCGAGAGTTCACATTTTGATACTGCTTCTAAGACAACAGAAGCACGAATTATTATCTTCTATTTTTTGTGTGAATTCGAGTTTTAAAAATGTATTTCAAGCAAAAGGCTCAAATGATGCTAATATTATTTTTATCTGATCAGTGTAAATGGTATAGATGTAATCTAAATTTTAAGCATCGTACCTGAAACTTACAGATTTTCTCCCATTTTTGTAGCTATCATTTTCTTAATGAATCGATGACAAAATTGTGTTGTCGTTGCTAACCAGATAAAGCGTATATGGAGATGGTTAGTAAGCAACACACGAAAACATAATTTTTAATGTCCTTTTAAACTGACCGAGAATCCTCAAATTCAATTATGCCTGCGAAAAGTCACGTCTTCCTCTCATTTAAAGCACATTCCAATAACCCTGCTTTTCTAATCGATCATAGCTCCCGTTGATGACCTCCTGATTTCAGCCCCATAACAGCAGCGAACAGTGCGAAGAAGAATCCTGCCATCCCAGTGGCTCCTGTCAGCAATATCAATCCACCAATCATCACTGGTATTAGAGTGAAGAACTTTAACTTGTAAGCCAGTAGTAGCGGCAGTAGGTAACGACGGTATTTTTTCTTGTATTTGTGTTTACCACGTTCCTGACGACTAGAGTCCCCGAAATCTGGAAATGGAGAATTAGAAAAAATTACTTATTTTGAAATCAGCACGGTATAATATCTGACGCATACTCTACATTAATAAAAAATGGCGTTAAGTAGGTTGACTTTGCGCTTCCCACGTAACGGTATCATCGGTTCACAAATTCGGTAAGCCCTTTTGAAGAAAATATTAACTACAAACGTGTATAACGAAGGATTTGAATCGATCTAGTTAGTCAAATAGTTCCATACCGCTACTGCCCGATACCCACCCATTTGGCAAAATCAGGATGTAATAATATCTCCACTACCATACCAACCATCCGACAACATTGTGATCACAGTTTCTTGTTGTCAGCTCGAGACAGGTTTCCTTTATCTTCGCTGCTCTGGATGGGGGTATTGAAAATATTTTTAACATAGTAAGTATTAAGTACTGTACCTCCCACTCAACGCCATCGTCATGATCACCCACAATATGTACGACACAAGTTACATAGTTAACCATGACCTTCCATAACAAATAAATTAGCTAATTGGATCAAGTCAGTCAAATCGGCCAAGACAACTAGTCCGCACCCAGTTGACAATGTTGCGACCTAGAAATTTAGTTTTACCTTGTAATAGCTGTCCATCCCGACTTCGCACGGATAACTGCCGGATCATGTTCATGAGTACTCGTAGGAATTTTTCTCAGAGGGAGCCAACAATCAACAAGACGTAACTTTTTGTGTAAGTGCACCTGCCCCCAAAACTTTTTAGAGAGCGGAGTATAGCAAATTTTTCTGGGAGGGTTGGTCAAATTCTAAAAATCCTCAGAGTTGTAGAAAAAATCATGGTAAATATACAATTTTGATCCCGCGGCTCACCACTTGCATCGAGAGGGATAGTGACTATGTCGAAAATAACTTACATATGTACAAGTGTAACCAAGTATATTATGGTTTTATTAAGTAAATTTAAAAACATTCTTTTTGTTGGGAAGTTAACACGTATTTAGGTCGCTTTGCTTGAAATTTGCGTTATGACCCAAATATCTGTTTATATTAAACTACACGAAAATTTGTTTTCTTAACATCGGATACTAAATACTTACAAAAATATATTCTGATGAAAGGTACTCAACAAGCATCAAATAATGCAAAGAATGTATTCGTGGAAATGTTTAAGAGACAAATTCAATGAGTACTATATCGATATCAAATAAGATATCAATAATCTGATTAATGAGAAAAAGTAGCGGACCAAAGTGGCATTATTGGTTCGTTCTTTGTAAGGCGACAATGTTCCAGATGCCCTTGGGGTTCTACAATTCAGTAAGCGTTTAGGTGGTACAAATCGGTACAATATATCCGACTTTTATCTTCAACCTACCACGTATGAATATTTTCGTTACTCGTAGATGTTCCTAAGAAGGTCCTTGCCCCAACTGTCAATGTTTTGATCAGCCTTACAAGGAACCGTTAGCTTTCTCAGAAACGCTTCTGATGTTTGAACTAAAATTGGAATATAGTAATAATTTTTCTCTTCTTCAGGAGCATAGCAAATACTTATATGTCAATCCAAAGTAAAAAGATTAAAGAAAATTATAGTTCATTTTTTTGGTAGTTGCGACTGATGCCAACAAAAGGAGGGACCTCCCCGACAAAATAGTGACGCGAACCAGTTGATGGTTGCTAATGTGAGTAGAATGAATTGGTCATCGCATGGTCATAACTACGAGTTTGTATTAATTGCCCCTACCAATAGCATGGCCTTCTATGGTTATTTATTATTGATTCAGCGTATGGAGTCACCATTAAGCAGCTCGCTGTTCAAAACAATTATGACACAAAAAGTAAATGACAGAATAAACGAGAGCAAACGAATAAAGCAAACAAACAGAATCATAAACTATATGTCTATGTTTAAATTACACAGCTATTCGAATTCTTTAGTGTACATTGCACAAATTCCGAAAGATCAGCATAACAGGCACGTCTAGCATACTCTATCACGATATGGTGTATTGTCTGCAGTTGGTACACACAATCTCACTCAGGATTCAACAAAGCCCCAGGTGTACAGGGAATCTGCACGCTTTCCATATCCTGTTCTAGTCTAGACCAGAGACGTCGCGGCAGATCAGATCCAGTAAATTTGGTTGTGGTTTTAATCATTTAGCTGGATGAAATCATATTGAGAAGCCTGTGTCCAAGCTGCCGACCATTCGGTAGAGATGTGGAAGCTTTGACCAACTTCCGTCACAATTCTTACTGCTGAGTCATTGACTCATGATCCAGTCGACTTACACAAAGCTGATTAATCATACACCTAAGCCTTGCTCATCAATCCCTCTGTCAACTGATCAAAACCGTATGGATATCGGTTGTACAGTTATTGAGTTTATCGCGTTCAGACAGACGCAGTGGGGAGCTCAATAGTTTTCCAGCAATAGTGGTTTTCGTTACGCTGGGCGTGGTGTTGGAATCAAATGTGACGAGAAATCTTTGTAAAGTATACTGTGATAGGCTAGCTTTAACTGAGTGGTGGAGTTGCGTAAAAATAGATGATAAGCAGCAACAGTGCACGGTCGACGTTGCCCGCGGACAAGAAGGTGGAAGATGGGGGACTGACTAACGAGTTATAGTAAGCAGCGGTCGCACGCGCCAGAAAGGCGGCTATTATATTTTTATGAACGACTAAGGTATTACCCAAATTAAGTTATTGTGCACTTATTTCGTTTCAAACGGACTTATTAGAAAAAAAAAATCGGAACGTAATACGCAAGTTCATTGAAAATATGATCATAAAATAATTCAAAAAGAATATATCCTATCAGAAGTAACAAACATAAAACTCAAACAACAATCAAATACTAGTTAATAAACAAGTCGTTCTAATAAATAAACTAAAGGAATCCAATAAATGAACAAAGTATTCAAAGATACTTTCTTATAGCTGGGCAGTCAACCACACCTCTTCTAATAAACTCCAAGGGTGGAATTGCTTCATGTACACACTCCTTGTTGTACCAAATTTTATCTTTCCTATTTGGCCATCTAAAATGACCTTTACTGCCCTCAACTTGGCACATAGCCTTAACTTCATAATCGTCATGTTGTCATGTTCTCTTTGCTGTTAGTTCCTACTTTTTCGGAACTTGAGATACATCTCTGAGCCTTTGTAACATCGTTAGTATCGGATGTTTCTCCATTACCGTCTGGTTTGATCTTGGTATTTGGTTTGAGCTTATTCGATTTAGGTGTTATTTTAGCTTTTTCATTAAGCTCCAACCGTTCTTTCCACTTTTTTGAAGTTATAGCATACGGCATTGAAGTAGATGGCCTTCTTTTGCTAGTGTAGGTACATCATCGGGCCAGTGTAGATGATTCGACCAGATTTCCTTGAGCCGTTACGCCCCAAAATTCTGCTTTCCGATCTATACTTCTCCACTTTGACCTGTATTATATGTATCTTCTATGTTAATTTGAGGGGATGCTGCATTCATTTTGTACCGTTTACTTTCATTTTTGTTGGTTTTATCCACGTTTGAGTCAAACATATTCATCTCATTTTCATCTCTAGTGTCAGTTATTCCATTTTCTTCATTTTCATGTGTCGGACTACCAGCGTTATTGGTCTCGACTGCTTTTTGGTTATCCACTTCATTGAGGATGCTCCCATCAGTGTCCCGCCTAATATCGCTGTGTGCAATTACATGATCAAACGAACATACCTGTAAGTGATGTTGGATCTCAATTATGTGAAGTACTCGTGGAAGTAAATATTTAGAATACATATCGTAGTACCCTCGTAATAGTATCCAACCGCAACGATTTCAAAGCGGGCACACAGAGAAGGAAAGCGGCACTGCGCCCCTTCCCCCTACCTTTCTCCCCTCTGGCTGCCTATAAACCTTCATTTACTTCAAAGCCAAGTTGTTGCAACAATTGGGAGCGAGGGAGCTATTTACTTCGACGAGGAATTCACATAATTAAGATCGAACATCACTTATAGGTAAGTTCATTTGATCATGTAATTATGTTGCGTCCTCGTCGAAGTAAATATTTAGAATACATGTAGTCGATGTCCAAAGCTAGTTGAAACAACCTACTACTAACGCTCTGCAATAGTAAACGATAGGTTGTACATCACTACATAAATAAATTGTACGCAGTGTATGTGTCAACTACATGTACATTTCCTTTGTAACAATTCAAGTTGTAACGGTTTCACCGTCCGATCGTATTTATTAAATCACTTCTCGATTATCATTTCATTAATCCCATCTCTAGCTTTTTTGCTTGGAAAATTTTCCGCTTGGAGCGCTTGATGCGGAGTTCCTGATCTGCGACCTTCCTCGCGCTTTCTTTTTCACCTGAGCCGCCGATCGAAGAACGGCTAGAAATTTCTTCTCAGTAGCACAAGGTTATATAGCACCATGTGCTAGAATTTTCTAGGATGTGTGTCCGTATAGGACAAAAATGATTGGGGCCACCCCCTTTCTCTTTCCCTCTCATTTTGCCTAGCCTTGGCCAATATTTTCACCCATGCATGTACCTTGGCAGCGCCATCGCCTTTAACTTCGCCTACAACTGGTTATGAAGCCACTATATGGAGGTCACCCCTCATAACTGGGACCTCCCCTTCAAGCCCCTGGCCATCCTGGCTTCAGTCGAGTAAAAATGGACCAGCGAAAGATAAGTCGATAGCGTTATAGCAGCGCCAAAGATGTAAAACTTATTTTGTTATTTTTGTAAAATTGTAATGTAATGAAAATGCCTTTTTTTTTGTTAAATAAAATCTGTTAAATTTTTGTGTTCTGTTTGTTCTTCTATCCTCTAGCCATGCCATGGTCGACACACAGCTACACGCCTGTAGATGTCTTCATGCCACCGACTGAGCTACCGGAAGCTAATTGTAACCCCCTTTCTGTGATTGTGCAGAAAAGTTGGAATCTTCATTGCATTCCATCTTTTCTGGACTTTTTGCGGAAAGGAAGTGTTACAAAGTTAAGGCTTTTAGCAACAGGTAATATGAC